CATATCCTTGGAACCGCCTGGTGGGCCTCCGGTAGGGTCGGTCTTTTCTCATACTAATGCAAATGCATATTTGTTTGTTACGATGATCCCAGGGACAAGTTCGATAAGGACAGCGCCGGCTGGCATGCTAGTGGTCCGTACGATATCTACCGGAACCCTATGGTCCCCCCCAGCGGTCCACCGATCCGTAACAGCTTCTAAGCTAAGAGGGAGGAAAGCGACTTTCTTGATGTGCAGCCTTGTTCGCTGATGTCAGTAAGACTGGGTTTGGCTGGCGCCGAGCTAGGCCTACCCCCCCCTCTTGACACTTCCTTACTTGCAGAGAACAAGTCCTTACTTGTTAGTACAATAGCTCGGCAACTGTAAGAAGACGTTAGTGGTTAGCGCAATAGCTCGGCAACAGCCAATGTTTAGCCAACAACACAGCGTTGTGATAAATTTTGTAGGTAGTCTTCCCTCGAGTCTGTAGAATTCACCGAAGTAGTGGGATTGGTCATCTGGGAGAAGTTCAGCACGAGACTTGCAGAAATGTGGGAACAACGATGCGAGCTATTGTGATTCAAAGAGGTTAGATTTGTGGAAGATTTTACCTAACCTAAGTGCTTTAGGTTGGATTTCCGTGATCTAAGAGCCCTGCATATTTCTCAGACTTGATGGGTGATGCTAGTGGTAAGGCTAGTTAGTCGCTATACAGTAACCTGCTGACATTTCCTAGAAGGCTACTTTATACAGCAGAACGCCCTTGGGGGCTTAGGTGTTCTGGAATGGAAATCGAATGAATGGCGCATCCTTGAAGTACTGATTCATCTTGAGCATTCTGCTCGTTTTCATTAGTTTTAAAGCGATGTGTCTTACCTGCATTCCAGTGGTATAAGATCCGGGGCTCATTTGTTGCTGTTTCGTGAGGGTAGCGATTGGCGCTGGAGGTGGTGATACGGTTCGATTACGGTAGGTAGGTGGAGCTGAGTCCATTGATGACGGAGAGCGGGAATTGGCTGGTGGATATGAGTGATAGCCACGATCCTGTAATTATCAGTTGTCCCTTCATAAGCATTACAGAGGAAAATGAGTACATTTGAGCTAATCGTCACGTCACATGAATCGCATCAATTAATAGCGCAAAGTAATCGCATATTCCAGGAGTGGGATGCACTCAATTCGCTGAGTAATGGAAGAATACGGAAGTTGGCTGCAAGCCGGAACTTACCGCTGTTGGCGGCACGCTATGTGAACGATTCGTTCTGCCGGCGATTTCAGCTGCTGAGATAACCTGACCGTCGGCGAGAGTGGTGTGCAGCTTCAGCTTACCCTGAAAATGAGTGATCTCAAGGAAATCGGTCTGTGATTCGACTCAGAAAATCTTCAGATCTTGAAATAAGCCTTATAGCAGCTTTTACCACACCAAGAAATGGGCCATAACTTCATTGTCCGCCACAGTTTGGATGGCTTGTGGGAGAAGTCGCTTTTTTTCAGTTGAGCTTCGAAAAACTAGACCCGCGCCGCCTTTTTATAGAGTGGGCGGCGTGAAAGAATGAGGTCGCCTCTTTTCATGATCGGGATCAAAGTGAACTTCAGCTCAGAGCACAGCGAAGAAGCAAAGTGTCATGGACAAGGTCCACGCATGGAAAACTACCGAAACCAATTTAAAACAGCGCTAAAGAGGCTAAAATTATGCGGAATCAACCAGCCATGGCATCTTCAAAAACCCTGGCTCTATGAAGGGCTTCATCAAAGGACTGCTATTTACAGAAATCTATAGCGCTGGGACTATAGTAAGGCGTAATTCGGCACTACAAATACCTCCATATATACCCTTCACGACT